CAGGAACTGGAAGCAGATATATATATATATAATTTCTTATTTCAGGAAGGGACCATTTAGGTATCTAAACTGCATGTGGGGTCTTTGATCCAGCTCCCCTTCTTGTTCAGGCTTTGTCTCCTGCTTCCCAAGTTTATTAGAAATTGACCTTGATTATTAGAGATGGGTGCCTTTTGAGCCCTTATGCCTTTATTGACTCTCATATCTTTGGATCCTATTTCCAGCCTTTGAAGATTTCTCATACTTTCTTGAAAGTTCAGGCATGCATGTTAAAACATTTTTATATCATATTCAACTTTTTTAGGTATTTTGTTATCAGGAAGGTCTTACTGCAATTTGTTAACATTACACCCAACCTCTACACTTGGAATTGCTTCCTGTTTTGTCTGTCGGTGCTTACCTTCTAGCAGCTGTTCTGTTCATTTGGAACCCATTCCATCTTGTTTCTTTCCATCCCAGATCCAGTGTACTTACTGGGAATCTCCTATCTGTTCTCAAATCCATGGGGAACAGTTCAATCCTGAAGCTCTGCTAATTAATGGGACCCCTACTCTTTGTTAGACTCTTAGGCAGTAAAACTATTTTGCATAATAAACATCTTTCCCCACCACTACTAGTATGTTGCTTGTAGACTATGAACTTCATTATGGGGTGCGGGTAGGGGTGGGGGAGGACTGGGATTGCTTTTAGTTTCCCAGAGAGGAATACAAAGATTCTGATGAGTTAAAGAGCATCTGTTCTGGTCACAAGAATGAAACATTACTGCATGTCTTCTTGCATTTGCTTTCTTGGCCTTGTGCACTTGGCTTTGGACCAACTTACTCTGACCTTGAATAGCTTACTTTTCCTGTTACCTCCCATTTCAGTCTTTCTTGTTTTTGCCTAGCCCCAGTAGGAGAATGAAAGAACAGAGTGTTTTCATCTTCTGCAGAATAAAGTGAGCTCAGATTTTCAAAGTATGACCAGAGAAAGCCTCACTGTAGCTTATTAGAGATGTTTCAAATCATGTGAATGTAAAATTTGATTCTGTAAGAGTAATTTGTAAGCAGTTGAGAAAAACTCCTGAGAGGAAAATTAAAAAAAAAGTCATCCTCCCCTGATCACTCTTACTGTCTTTACCACTCCGAAACTAGTAAGGTATTAAGAGTGGAAGGGGCAGGAAGAGAATAACCAAAGAATTTATAAGCATACTAGAGGCCTGGTGCAGGAAATCCCTCAGCCCGGCCTGTGCCCTCTCTCAGTCCGGGAGCCCTCAGGGGATGTCTGACTGACGGCTTAGGCCAGTGGGCTTAAGCCGTCAGTTGGATATCCTTAGTGCTGCCAGGGAGGCAGGAAAGGCTCCTGCCACCACCACTGCACTCGTCAGCTATGAGCCCAGCTTCTGGCTGAGCGGCACTCCCCCTGTGGGAGTGCACTGACCACCGGGGGCAGCTCCTGCGTTGAGCTCTGCCCCCTGGTGGTCAGTGCGCATCATAGCGACCAGTCATTCCACCATTCGGTCGATTTGCATATTAGCCTTTTATTTTATAGGCTATTGTATAGCCCCCTGGTCGGCAAACTGCGGCTCTTTGGCCCCTTGAGTGTGGCTCTTCCTAAGCCTTAGGAGTACCCTAATTAAGTTAATAACAATGTACCTACCTATATAGTTTAAGTTTAAAAAATTTGGCTCTCAAAAGAAATTTCAGTCGTTGTACTGTTGATATTTGGCTCTGTTGACTAATGAGTTTGCCGACCACTGGTATAGCCCATGGACACAGACAATAGACAGGTGAAGACCTGGGGTGAAGTGGGCTAAGGAGTTAATGAAAACAAACGTTTTCTGTAAGCCAAATGTTGACAATTTTTGTAGTTGGGACAGAGTTGGAAGGGTTCTAATGAGCTGATCTTCTTGAGGATTATCTTGACAATTAATTTATCATTCACTCAGCTGGGCTTGTAGAAGGCAGAAGAGACTGCAGGAACAAGTTAGGTTGAGAGATGTTCGGTTTTAGGGTGGGGGGTAGTTTTTATTTTGAGCAGATAGAGACGTTCTTTGGGTCTCTGGCAGCCTGGGTGCGGTGCCCTGGAGAGAGGAAATATGGTATGGGCTGATAATAGGAGTCTTGCCATGCAGATATTATTTCTAGAGAAGGCTTTCAAGTAAACGCTTCTTCCTGTATTAACTTTTTCAGGGGAGATGTTCGGACGCCTTTCTTTCCCTTTGTATTGAGTTGTCCAAGTTGGTGCATGTGGGACAATTAGAGTCGGAGTTGAAAGTGCAGAGGGAGCTCCTTCCTTAACTCCTGAGCAGCCTGGGGGAGTAGCAGCCCTCTGGATGCCAGAAGAGGAAGCCTTTAATGAGCTCCTTGTTTTGCTCCAAAGACTTTGGAATTGATTGTTCAGTTCACTTTAACTTAGAAGCCTTGCCTTCCCTTTGATATGGTGTAAAGCGGGGGCAATCCCAGGGGCTCCGTGCTGGACATATGCAGCAGCAGCTGTTACTCTGTGTTTTTTGGCTCACGCCCCCTGGCTTCCCACATCCACAGTCCTGCAGGTGCCTGCTGTGGGGAACGTCTGCCCCATCCTTTTGGTCCCTGGTGCTTGATCTACACCGTTTCCAGGCGACTTGGCCCTCCTCGGAGACAGACATCAATGGCAAAGATCAGAGTGGGCTGGCTTTTGAAGAGGTTTGGCGAACTCTGCTTTGCAAACCTGCTGAGAGATGTGGTGTTCCTTTCATGTTTCCTTTCTGTCTGTGTCCAGAGGGCAAAGGGAGGATCTTCACGTGATGGGGGCTATTGATGTTGGTTGCAAATTCATTTCAGATTAATTTCTACTTTTTTTTTTTTGGTCCCCGGCCTCTAACAGCCACTGGGGTCCCTTGATCTTGACATTGCTCTAGCAAGGCTGCCAGGGAGCAAGGAGAATAATTTCTGTGCACGCCCAAACACAGGAACAAAGGAACAGTCCTCATTCATCAGGGGATTGTACTAAATGCTGTTCTGAGTTCTTGCCTCTGCATAATATTGGGTCCTGGTAGTGGTGTGAAGATTACAGGAGGGTACTAGTTATCTAGTTAAGCTTCTAATGATCCCTCCTTATGCAACCATAATGCATTTCTTGACTCTCCACTGTATGCCAGAGACTGGGGGGGTTCCAATTATTTCCTATTCTTACAACAACCCTACGAGATAGCTGGTTGTCTTTGTCTTATAGATTAAAAAAAACACAAAAAAACCTGAAACTAAAATGTAACTAAACTCCATGTGAGGTCGGTGTATGTGAGAAGCCTTTGGTCTACTGAGTCTAAAGACTCTTCTCGCTCATACCAGTGGCCATAAGTGAGCCCAACTCAGCTGGCTTGTTTTACATTGAGTCTATGGGTGCTTTCAGGGTATAATGCAGAGCAGGGTCCTTTTGACAGAGAACAAAGGGCCCACAGAGCAGAAAATATTGTCATACCTGGACCTGTAAGAAAAAAGTTGGTTAGCACAACTGAGAGTGCCCAAGTCTTTATTTAGCAAATAGGACCGTTTTCTGCCTGCACGTTGCAGGTGTAAAACCCAGAATCTGGCATCGATCTGTCCGTCTCGCTTTTCACCCCCACTTTTCACTTCCCTTTATCTTGCACATATTTTTGTTACGATTTTGTGGAGAGTAGTGGCTTTTCCCTCGGAGTCTAAATGGCAGCTGGTAATGGTTTGATTTATTTATTTAGAGATTTCCTGTCAGAGCCTTGTAATAGATTGTTTGAGACTCTAAATGGTTTCGTGAAGCGTCAGTTTTTCAGCGGGTCTTTCTTGAGGGGAAAAATATCAGATAATGTAACAGTGCGATGACTTAGCAAGCCCCGCCGCTTTCATTTTGAAAGGGGGAAACATTCCTGTGTTTTTGCGTGATGTTAGTAGACTATTACGTGGGCAAATTCCAGCCAAGGTGGATTTGAAGAAATATTACTGTCAGTGTTACACTCCTCGGGCTTACTTGGAGATTTGCCTAGGGAGGAGGTCAGTTGTAAGGCAGTAGTTTGCAAATGTCAGTGTGTATAAGAAACACTTTTGCTGCTTCTTTAAAAAAAAAAGTAGATTCCCAGACCCTCAGCCCCAGCTGTAGATGCTTCTGAGGCTCACGGGCAACAGCTGGTTTGGGGAGTGGAGCCCTGGCTCACTGCTGGGATTCTAGGTCATTCGAATAAAGATATTATCCAGCACTCCTTTTAAAATTCTCGTTCCGTTTATCTTGGAATGTGTTGCTGTAGCTGTGAGTTTTAAATGTTTATTTAAGTAAAACAATAATGGGAAAATCACATTGCTGTAAATGTTTAACTACTTTCTATCACTATCTCTAAGAATGACATATTTTCTGTTGTATGTTGTGCTTTGTGGCTACAGAATTCCTCATCATGCACATCTCATTTTATTTTATTTCTTTCCTTTTTATTGAATTTATTGGGGTGACTCTGGCTAACAAAATTATACAGGTTTCAAGTGCACAGTTCTACAACACATCATCTGTGCACTGTATTGTGCGTTCATCACTCCAAGTCGAGTCTCCATCATCACCATTTATCCCCCTTTTACTCTCCCTACCTCTCTCATCCTCCTCATTTTATTTAAATGTCAGCTCTTGAAACAGATGTGTCAAGTAGTATAGTTTTCATTTATCAAATAAGAAAATCGAGATTAAAAAAACAAGTGATGTCCCCACCAACAGTACAGCTAATAAGCAGTCCATCTAGAAGTCCCATATTCTGCTTCTAATTTCAAGTCCTGTGTTCCATGCAGTGCACCAATTTGTCCTCATGACACCTGTTTTGATTTTTAGAGGAAAATATAATCACTTATAACTCACTGTGTTCTCATAGGAAGGATGAGCTATCCATAATTAAATATTTGGTAATCTCCCGTCGCTGACTCGAGGTGGAGGGAGTTGGTCGCAGGTGTATACAGATTGGTGAATCAGTTGTCTTTAGAGAACATTCCTAAGCATGGAAGAAGAAAGCTCTCTCCTCTCTTTGACAGAAACTTTACAAGACGGGCCGGGAGATGCAGGAGCGAATCATGGACCTGCTCGTGGTGGTGGAGAATGAAGACGTAACTATTGAGCTCATTCAAGTGAATGAGGATCTGAATAATGCCATCCTTGGCTATGAGAGGTGAGCAGACGGTGCAGTCTCTTCAACCCTCCTCCGAGTCTGGTTTCACCACCAGTTACTCAGCGTTCTTATTAGAGGGCCTACAAGGTGAACACTCAGGAAGATCAAGAACAGGTTCAGAACAAGGCCGCCTTCCTCCCAAGATAGGGATCTTGGTCCTGGCCTTCTGGGAGCCTGTGATATGGCCTGCGAGAATGAGCAGTGCTGGGCTCTTGAATAGATGAGTGCTATAAACAGAGTCTCAGGGAATGTGAAGTTGATCTTGAGTTTGAGATGGAGAAGAATATGGGAAGGGAAGGGAAGGGGGGGAATATCTTATGTGGAGAAAATAGTCTGTAAAAAACCAGAGCAGCCAATGAGGAAATTTTTTATGCGAACGTATAAAAATAGTTATGCAAATAAGGAAATGGAACTTTGTTGCTCAAGGCTGGGCCTGTGAAGGGTGTTCATACTCAGCACACACCTATAAGAAGCCAATGGCAGAAGTCGACGGGAGAAAAATCACGTGTTTTAGAAAGGGAAAAATCCTTAAAACCAAGTGCATGGTTCAATGAACTGGAAGCTTTTCAACTTTAAAGTGTTTAGGTTCACAGAATTGATGTGTCATAGAATTAATTCCATGTTTCTAAAGCCACTCTTAGCTTGCAAAGCATTTCCACATTCATCCACCTGTATTATCTACTGACATCTTGCCCCTGAGAAAAACTTTCTGATGAAGTGGTTGAAATAAGGATCAGGAAGTCATTTCCATGGTCATATGGCTATTTGATAATAATGCTGGTACTTGAACCTTGTGCTTCTACCTTCAACTTTTACTATTTTTTCAAAGCCATTACTTTGTTTGTTTATTTAACTATTCCTCCTTTACCCCCAATGTATGAGCAGTATAAAATTTTAAAACATTATAAAAGCTCAATATTGTTAGTAGGTATAAAATGTCTTATAAATATGAAGATAGTGAAAATACAATAAATGTATTTAAATCTTCAATGGAAAATTATAATGGTAAAATTGGAAACACCTTAAGTATTTGGGAATAATAAGAAAAGTTAAATATGTGGTACGTTCATAAGGTAAAATATGCAACCACTAAAAATTGAACTTCTGAATAACTAGAAAAGTCCTTGCAAAATAATTGAATTAGGATACAGAAATATGTAAAGTATAATTTCAATTAAGTTTGAAATAGATTAGCCTCCAGGAAAATATATGGGAGGAAATACATCATAATGTTAAGGACAGTTTCTAGGTGATAGAAATGATTAGGGACCATTTCTAGGGGATGGAATTTTATTATTTTTAATACTTTTCCATATTCTTGCTGTTTTCTCAAAAGGCATCATTCATTACCTCTATAAACTGAAAAAAGTGATTAAAGTACTTTACTGGGAATTGAGTGGTGATGAAGCTCATTGTCTTTGTTCCTAAATATTTGCATATTAATAATCTGTTAATTATTGTAGCATTTTCATATCCATTTTCTTTCAACATTTCCATGTTGCTAATTCAAACAGGTTTACTCGAAACCAACAAAGGATTTTGGAGCAAAATAATCAGAGGGAAGACACCAATGTAAGTGAATAGAAATGTTATAAAATACACAATTGAACAGTTTACAAATTGTATAATATGGAGCAAGGTTTATGTTAAAATAAGTCTTAAAAAAGAGGAGATTCATTCCTTAATGATTGGGGTGGTTTTGGTGGTATAGAGTACTTGCCTCAATAACTTGATATCATCAAATTATTAATAAGAGGTCATTAAAAGATGCTCTAATTAAGCAGGAACCCATGTAGAGAGTGAGATGTAATTAGTACTCATATTGTCTATGGAATGGAGAATTCTCCCTCAAGATGCATCCAAATAGGATCTTCTTTTCTCCAAAGGAAAGCTTCCAGGGAGAAAGCCTAAGTGATAAATGACCTGCCAAAGTTTTTCCAAATTATGTTTGTGTTTGCTTTGTTTTCAGGCTGCCACGGAACCTTCTGCCCCATCCTGTGATCTTCTTGACCTAAGCCCCAGCACTCCGAATCATAGGGCTACTCTGGAAGAGGTCAACGCCATGAATGCTCAGCTTTCACACTTAAGTAAGCAAGCATGCAGGTCTTTTAGGCCAGCAGAAGAGCTTAAGGTGAAACAGATCTCCTTGGTTTCATGATTAATTGCAACCAGAGAAGGACTGGCATCACTCTGAATAGCAGGACTATATCAGGAGATGTAATTATTTCTTGGCCAATGGTTGTTGGGTCATGCCCAGCACAGGAAAGGGATGTGACTGGAGGAGGAGGTCCTTGAAACTCATCCCACTGGCTTAGAATCTCCTGGAATTCCCATGGCCTGCTTTGTAGACATTGTTCAGTTCCATGGCCAGTACTTAAGTCTACTCTGAACCAACACACTATTGTCTTTGGGTTTCTCTGCCATACTACAGCATCAGATAAGGGAGTATTTGATGTAGAGAAATTCAGGAATTGTGAGGCCTTGTCCATATGGTGGCGAAAGGTAGAGGAGGAAACACTGCCTTTTGAGTCAGAGGAGAGTCCAAGTTGAAATCCCAGTTCTGCCACCTCTTAGTCACCTAACCTCTGAGACTTTCCTATCTTATCAAGTCAGAACAATGGTTATTTTAATGGGTTTCTGTGAAGGTAAAGGAATGATGTTTATAAAATGAAATGTTGGCTTGGGGTTACCTATCATATCTATCTTATTTGTTACATCCTACTATTCTATCAAAAAATCTGGGTAAATTACAAAATAAGGATAATGAGAAATGCTGATGTCCAGAAGTTTTTGCCAAACTGAAATCAGTTTGTTTTTCTATATTAGGAGGTTTTTCCAGAATATTTGGCATCACTGAATTTGTGGTTTTCCTGTAACTTCCTTCATTTCTGAAATGTTGACTGCTTGCTTAGTAGACCAGTGGGATGTGCGGAGTGTATTTCATTAAAGAGTTTTCTTACATTTTTATCAGGCATTTTCCGGGGGTAAAGGGGGAATAATTATTCTCTTTGGGGTGTCTCACTTAAGATGGGAAGTTAAGAATTTGGGGAGGTCAGGGTAGAGCTCTGTATATACAATAGATTTTTCCTTTGGAAGTTGGCAGAACAAGACATGCAAAATCTCATCCATTCCTGATCAGCTTGGGATTTGAGAAAACCCAGCACAATAACATGTGTTACCTTATCAACAACCTCTCCTTGTGACGGGGAATTTCTCTCTTCCCAGTTACCCTAAACGAGGCTCTTTAATTTCTGTTTGAGGAAATTCCATAATTTTATGGTGACAGAAATCTCTCTCTCTCCTCTTACCGCCCGCCCCCCATCCCCCATGGAAAAGCCAACAGAAAAGTTACCGACAAAATGTTTCAAGCCAAACAACAAGTCCATTTTGTGTCCTAGGTTTCAGCTCTCCAACTCCTGTGATAATGAACAGCTTGCAGCCCAGTTCTCGCCCACAAATGGATCTGCTAGCCTTGGAAAACACGGACACAGCCATGTAAGTATGTCCGTCATACTCCAGAACCAACACCACCTCTTTCTGCCTCCTCATATTCCAGAAAGCATGACACAATAGGAAAACCAGAGACTTGGGAATCAGACAGACCTGAGTCAGGATCTCAGCATGCTGCTTCCTACTAGCTCTGTGACTTTGGATAAGATACTTACCCAGCGTGAGCCTTCCGTTTCTTCAAAGAATACTTCCTAGGATCTTACAAAGATTCTGTGAGATGCTGTATGCTACCTCCTAATATAGCACTTGGTAGGTAATAAGCCTTCAATGAGTTGTCTCTGTATCTGTTCGTTTTAACGTAGTAACAGGAAGTAGAGGAAAAACAATGATAAAGGAAGGAGAAGGGAAATGAGGTTCAGAATTGTGAAGAGTAATGGCCACACCAGTACCCAAGGACTTGCTATGTGCCAGGCGCTTTGCTAAGCTGTTTTTGTTCATTTCATTTAATCCTTGCAAAAGTTCTTGGGTCAATGCTGTTACCATTATTCTCATTTTATGGGAGGAAAGGCTGAAACTTAGGGAATAGAACTTGTCCCAGTTCATATAGCTATTGAGTAGCAGTTCTAGCTAATAGCTGCTTATTTTACTCTGTGATCTCATGGGTCTTCTTATGCATGAAGATCACTTGGGTGGCTCTGGCCACCTAAATTCTGATTCAACTGTAGAGGCAAAATAAACCATCCTAATGTCTTATGATCTTGAGATTTTTCCACCCCTCTGTGTTTGCAGTATAATGTGTTCATCACAGAACACATGAGTGCTGAAATTATTCATAACAGAAAGGATCAAAACAGTGATGAAGGGGAAAAGTCATAGGTTGTATTTATAGCCCACTTACCATCAGGCAACAGGCTAAGAAGAATAAGAAATGCCTATTAATTTCTTAGAAGTGCTCCCAAAAGGCCTGAGGTAGATACCTCATCACTCTCATGTTACAAATGAAGAAAATAAGGTTATCCAATTAGTGCATACATGGGATTCAAATTCAAAAGGGTCTGATTTGAGTGCCTGCTCTCTTTTTTCTTTCTGCGCTTTAATTTTTTTTATTTCCTTTATGATAAAATTGACACCCAACCCTTTTTAGTGTACAGTTCTAGGAATTTTAACATATATATAAATTCATGTAACCATCACCAAAATAACTCCCTTATGTCGGTTCTTGAAAAGATTGTGTAAAATTGGTGTTTGCTTCATGTATTTTGAAGCTCTGTTATTAAGGGCATATGCATTGAGGATTGTTATATTTTCTTGGTGAATTGACCCTTTATCATTATGTGATGTCCCCCTTTGTCCCTTGTAATTTTCTTTGCCCTGATGTCTACTTTGGTATTAATACGGCAACTCTAGCTTTCTCTCAATTGGTGTTTGCTTGCATCGTATATCTTGTTCTATCTTTGTTCTTTTAACTATACCAAAATATTTGAAGTGAGTTTATTGTAGATAGCAAATAGTTGTGTCATGCATTTTCATGTATTCTCGTAATTCCTGTCTTTAATTGGTATGGTTAGACCATTTCCATTCAATGTAATTATATGTTTGGAATAAGATCTATGCTTGTGTAATGCTTTCTCTGTGTTCCTTTATCCCCCCTCTGTTTCCTGCATACTTTTAATTATTTGAATTTTTTTTTCAGCATTCCATTTTACTTATTATGATTTTGACTGTATCTTTGTATAGTTTCTATATGGGGGCAGGAACTGGTTACTCTAGGGATTGCAATATACATAACTTTTAAGTCTACTTAGAAACAGTATTTGGCCATTTGAAGTGAAATGTGGAAGCCTTATCACCATATAAATTCCCCCATTTAAATTATAGTTATCATAGATATTACATATGTATACATTGGAGATAAAAACTATCACTAGACAATATTATAATTTTGCTTGCAACCCACAAATACAGGGTGTCCCAAAAATGTATACACACTTTGAATCATTATTAACCCCAATGGGTTAAATCTGAAAAGAAAGAAAGATCAAATGAACTGTCAGCTGTTAGTGTGTATACATTTTTTAGGGACACCCTGTATATTTCAAAAAACTCAAGAAGAGACAAATAGTCTATTATATTTATGCAATATTTACCATCTCTGTTGCTCCTTTATTTTCTCCCAGGATAATTTCCCTTCTCTCTGTAGAATTTCCTTTAGCCATTCTTTTAGAGCAGGTTTATCAGAAGCAAAAATCTTAGTGTTACTTCACTTGAGTATGTCTTAATTGGAGATAAAAACTATCACTAGACAATATTATAATTTTGCTTGCAACCCACAAATACAGGGTGTCCCAAAAATGTATACACACTTTGAATCATTATTAACCCCAATGGGTTAAATCTGAAAAGAAAGAAACATCAAATGAACTGTCAGCTGTTAGTGTATAAACCTTTTTTAGGGACACCCTGTATATCTCAAAAAACTCAAGAAGAGACAAATAGTCCTATTATATTTATGCAATATTTACCATTTCTGTTGCTCCTTTATTTTCTCCCAGGATAACTTCCCTTCTCTCTGTAGAATTTCCTTTAGCCATTCTTTTAGAGCAGGTTTATCAGAAGCAAAAATCTTAGTGTTACTTCACTTGAGTATGTCTTATTGCATATTTGTTTCTGAAGGATATTTTCACTGGATATAGAATTCTGGGTTAACAGTTCATTTTTCTTCCAGCAGTTTTTAAACATTGTTCTACTGTCTTATGGCCTAAATGATTTCTAATGAGAAACCTACATTCATTCAAATTGTTGTCCTCTATAGATACTGTGTTTTCTCTGACTATGCTTTCAAGAATTTTTTTTTTCTAATTTTGAACAGTTTGATTATGATGTGTCTGGGCCTGGATTTTAGTTTCTGCTGTTTTGGATTTGCTGAGTGTATTAGTTTCCTGTGGCTACCATTAAAAAAAAAATGACCACAAACTCAGTGGTTTAAAACCACAGGAACTTATTTTCTCATAGCTCTGGAGGCTAAAAGTCTAAGATTCAGCAGGACCACACACCCCACGGGGCTGCATTCTTTGGCATGTCGCTACATCACTCCATTTTCTGCCTCCACCTTCACATTGCCATTTTCTCTAAAAGTCCCACTGCTTGTCTCTTTCAAGCTCACTTGTCATTGGATTCAAGACCCATTTGAATAACACAGGATGATATTGTCATCTCAAAATCTTTAACTTAAATACATCTGCAAAGACCCTTTTTCCAAATAAGGTAACATTCTTAAGTTCCAGGAATTAAGACAAGGTCATATGTTTTTGGGGAGCCATCATTCACCTGACTCTACTGAACTTTTTTTTTTTTAATATATTTTATTGATTTTCCACAGAGAGGAAGGGAGAGGGATAGAGAGTTAGAAACATAGATGAGAGAGAAACATCAATCAGCTGCCTCCTGCACACCTCCCACTGGGGATGTGCCCACAACCAAAGTACATGCCCTTGACCGGAATCGAACCCGGGACCCTTCAGTCCGCAGGCCTACGCTCTATCCACTGAGCCAAACAGGTTAGGGCATCTACTGAACTTCTTGAATCTGTGAGTTTATGTCTATCAACAAAATTGTGAAGTCTTCAGCCCTTATTATTTGAAATACTTCAAATGTTTTTTCAACATTACACATTTTCTGCTGTCCTGGACTCTTGTTGACACCAATCATAGATCTGTTGTCATTGTCTCATAGTACATCACTCCATTTTCTGCCTCCACCTTCACATTGCCGTTTTCTCTAAAAGTCCCAAGCTTGTCTCTTTCAAGCTCACTTGTCATTGGATTCAGGACGCACTTGAATAACACAGGATGATATTTTCATCTCAAAATCTTTAACTTAAATACATCTTCGAAGACCCTTTTTCCAAATAAGGTAACATTCTTAGGTTCCAGGAATTAGGACAAGGACATATGTTTTTGGGGAGCCATCATTCAACCGACTCTACTGAACTTCTTGATTCTGTGAGTTTATGTCTATCAACAAAACTGTGAAGTCTTCAACCCTTATTATTTGAAATACTTCAAAAGTTTTTTCAACATTACACATTTTCTGCTGTCCTTCTGGGACTTTAGTTGACACCAATCTTAGATCTGTTGTCATTGTCTCATAGAACCCTAGGGTCTGTTCATTGCTTTTCTCACTTTTATTTTTTTTCCTGTTTTTTAGATTGGATAATTTCTATAGATCTATGTTCAAGTTCACTGATTATTTCCTCAGTCATCCCTATATGTTGTCGAGCTCATTCCATAGTTATTGTTAAATTTCAGTTACTGTATTTTTCAATTCTAAAATTACCATTCGACTCCTCATATCTTGTGTTTCTTTGCTGAGGTTTCTATGTTTCTTTTTCTTTTTTTTCAAGAGTGCAGTTTCTTGTTGAAGCATTTGTAGTAAGAGCTGCTTTAAAATCTTAGATAATTTCAGCACCTGTGTCCTCATGATATCAACTTCTGTCGATCTGGCTTTTCTCCTGCCACTTGAAATGTTTCCAGTTCTTCAAATGCCTAGTAACTTTGGGTTGTATATTGGACTTTTTTAATGTTATGAGATCCTTGCTCTTATTTAAATCCTAGTGAGAATGTTGATACTTTGATATTAGTAGGCAGACAGCCTTGTTAGTTTCATGCCACCGTTTAACCTGCCCTCTGTATGCTGCGGCTCCCACGCGGCTAAGCTTTGCAGCGCTGTTCAGCTCTGTCTCACCTGTGCCTCACTCAGTGGTCAGGCTGAGGTCTGGACGGCAGGCTGTGTCCAGTTCTCATTACCTTTGGCATCCTGACTGGGAACAGATCCACAGAATTACAGATCAGAGGGTGAGCCCAGGATTTCACAAACAACTTTGAGTTTGTTTTTCTGAATTTGTCCCTCTTTGTGGTTTCTTTGATAACTTTATCTTCCCAGGACTCCCTTTTTGGCTCTCCAGTCAGAAACTGGAGGTTTACTGTGCCATGCACTTCCTTCAGTGTTAGTGTGTCTGGGACCAAATGGCAGGACAAAGAGGAAAAAAAGAAACAAGAAAGGTTCACCCCCATCCTGTTGGGATCACAGTCTACCTGTTGGAGAGGAAGGTTCCCCTCACTCAGGGTTTTAAACCCCTATAGGTCCCTGTTACCCATGATGTCACTGCAGCCAACTGGCCTAGGGTTAGGGGTGTGAGAACAGAGAGGAG